AAGTCAGTGATTGACATGGCACTGCAAAGTGGGCAGCAGCAATTTTTTCCCTGCGACGCTAGGAGAAGAAGGATGTGACCATATGAACGCACATCGTGCTTAGGGCCAAATTTGAGATCCCACGGCTGTAGCGTGGGCACATCACAGGCCATTGCTGCTAAGGTGAAAACGGCTTCTCCACAAAAAACTTCAACAAACCAAGAGCTTGTTGATTCATCTAATGAACCAGCCAGCCAAGAGCACGCAGGAAGCAGTTGGAGAGCACCAGACAATGATTGCAGCCCCAGCGCACACCCCTCAGTGTCACCAGGAACGACATCACTTTGTGGTCAGCGTTGTTTACGTTTGTCCTGCTGCTGCTGCCGCCTTTGATTCTGCTTGGAGAACCAATTTTGGGTCTTTAGCTGGCGCTTGCTTATGCCACCATCCTGGCTTGCTGCCGCAGAAGATTTTGCCAAGAGCTGAGCCTGAACCTCACTCAACTTCTTACTGGCAGCATCAGCTCGCTTCTGAGCTTGCTCAGCAGCCGCAAGTTGCCGCGCCACATCCGCACTGGAAGAGGTTGTGGATGATGTTGCGGCGGATGGCATTTGTTGCGAAACATCGTCTTGTATGCCCACCTCTTGCAAAACTTGGCTCAACCTTTGTCTTGCCAATTCGAGGATGTCCTTGTCAATTTTCTGCGACTCCATGGCAATGTCCAGGGATGGATCACGTTTGTCTGCCCGACGGGCCCACTGACGGCGCAGCAGATCATCATAAAGAAAAGCCAGATAAGGAGCACGACCTTTGATCTTCTCTTGCTCGCAGATTTGGAGAATCACATCCAGGTGACCAAACACAACTGGCCAAGTCATCTGTCCAGTTGCCACCGCCGTAGTTGCATACCTGACAAACGCAGCGACCCACTGCTGGACATTGCGAAAGAATCTGGGGGTTGCAGTGGCCCCTTTGAGGGCCTTTGACAAATCACTCAACGACCCTATGGAGTGATGGCCTACAAGCTTGGACTCTTCTTCATCTCGCAAAGTGAACTTACCACCAACAGAGTCTGCTGGCAACCACAATGGAAGAACCTCTTTGCTGGTCAGATCCACATAAGTGAAGGGCACGCGGCTCTGAGCCTTTGCTTCCTCTGAGGCTACCTGCAAAGTGGTGTACAAGGACTGATCCGCCTGCACATGAAAGCCAAGTTTGCTAAGACCACACTGCTGCAGTAGGTCCGCTACATCCGGCACTTTGGATGGAGCCAAAGCGGACGCCAGCAACTTTGCCGAAACAGGAGTGGACGCCAAAGCCGACTTTGCAGTCGCCTGCGCAAGTCGAGCTTTGTCCAAAGCTTCAACACTTCTAACCAAGCGGCGAATCAACGCTGAGGCTGGCAAAGAAGCTGGTAGTTGAAGTTTGTCCAAATCTGCTTCAGCGACACCGCTGGCTGCATTCGGATTTGGGAGCTTGGCAACATCAACCAGGAACTGCACTGCCTCCTTCAGCACATCGTCTGCCGGCTTCACCGTCTCCGTTGAACTGATCAGATCATTCCAGGATGTCGCCATTGGCTCCAAAATGAAATGAAAAAAAGAAAATTCCTGCGAGGGCGTTGAGCCGCAGGCTGCCCAGTCCTTCAAATCTCAAATTGTGCACACCAACAATTCCTTCAGCTTTGTTGGCACAAAAGAAAGAATAGACTCATCTGCAAACACTCCATTTTCGTCAAGTCCGTCAAGAACTCGGCATGCTGTCGAGGTGGTAGCAGCTAGCAAGACTCCTTCGAATTGATGACTGGGCAACATATGACAACAGATCTCAAGCCGCTGTCTGAAGCCCTGCCCTGTACGGCATCAGATTTGGTGTCCATCAGTCAGTAAGAAACAAGTGGCCTAAGAAACAACTGGCCAAAACCATGTAAAAACAAGCAAAAATAACAAGCAAACTTTCAAGTTGAGTGCAATAAGGCGTTGCCCAATGCAAATGCAATGCAACGCAACGTCCGCAGTTGAGGCCGTCATACTTTCTGCGTTTCACTGCTCAGCGCAACATATTCGTACCAAAGTGCGGTCGCTACTCTTCCACTCCACAAGTAGCGCCAAATGAAGAAAACTCCAATTCCAAGCTTCAGGCCCTCACTAGGGTGACTCTTTGCTGAGGATATTGGTGAAGATCTGATTGAAACGGTGAAATACGCAAATGAAAGGGCCTCCACCCGCCCTGATCAATGTGGCACAGTGGATTCATGTGGAGCTAGAAGGCAAGCCTGCGCGTTGGTTGGGTGGACGTTGAAACGCCTACACTGGTGGTGGGCAGCGATGTTGAGCGCAATGGGCTTGAAGGCGCGGCGACCCAGCAACCCCAGGGCGTACGTCCGACCCTTGAAGAGCACCAAGCACCGCGCCTGCCACGCAAATCACACCGGCACAGCTGTGGCGACCCAGTGACCCCAGGGTGTACATCCGACCCCTGGGGAGCCTCCTCGTCCTGGTCTCATCACGGTACTGTAGGGAAAGCGCGGCGTTGGGGAATTCTTGTTTCTTCAAAAACCACCCGGCAAATCGCAAAACTTGCCACGTCTGATTGGTCCAATTGTTGATTTCAAGCACGGGTTTAGGGCCTAGTCACAACATTGTAATGCCAAGATCTGTTGCATCACAGTGATTGGTATGGTTTGATTGATCCAATTGTCGATTTCAAGCACAGGTTTAGGGCCTAGTCACAACATTGTAACGCCAAGATCTGTTGCATCACAGTGATTAGTATGGCAGCCGCTACCACTACCACTACCACTACCACCAACTACCACTACCTACTACGACTACTACAGCAACTACGACTACTACTACAACTACAACTACAACTACTACTACTACAACTACTACTACTACTACTACTACTACTACTACTCCTACCACTACTACTACCGCTACTACTGCTGCTACTACTACTACTACCACTACTGCTACGACTACGACTTCGACTACGACTACGACTACTACTAGTAGTCCTAGTTCTACTACTACTGCTACTACCACTACCACCACCACCACCACGACTGCTACTATTACTACTACTACTACTACTGCTACTACTACTACCACTACTACTACTACTACTACCACTACTACTACTACTACTTACTTACTTACTTACTTACTTACTAACTAACTAACTAACTAATTAACCAACTAACTAACTAACTAAAACAAAACAAAACCAAACTAAATTAAACTAAACTAAACTAAACTAAATTAACCTGACTAAATTAAATTAAACTAAACTGAACTAAACTACTACTACTACTGCTACTACTGCTACTGCTACTGCTACTCCTGCTACTCCTGCTACTCCTACTACTACTACTACTGCTACTACTACTACTGCTACTACTCTACCACTACTACCACTACTACCACTACTACCACTACTGACACTACTACTACTACTACTACTCCTACTCCTACTCCTACGACTACCACTACCACTACCACTACCACTACAACTACTACTACTACTACCTACTACCTACTACCTACTACCTACTACCTACTACCTACTACCTACTACC